AGAGAGAGAGAGAGAGAGAGAGAGAGAGAGAGAGAGAGAGAGAGAGAGAGACTGAGACTGACCATGCCTGGTATCCTTCTCAATCACGTCTCTTGGTCTTTCTTCAGTAGCAGGGTCTCAGACTGAACTCAGAGTTCACTGATTTGGCTGGCCTGGCTGGCCAGCAAGCTCCGGGAATATGCCTGTCTCCACCTCCCTGGTGTTGGGGGTCTAAGTGTGTGCCTGGCTTTTTAAGTGGGTGCTTGAGATTGAAACTCAGCTTCTTCATCCTTTCATAGCAAGTACTTCACTCATTCGCCTTCCTGCCTGACATTACTCTTTAACAGAAGTTAAGTCTATCCGTGGGTGGAGGTAGCCAAGCATCATTGCGTAAGTTACTCCTGCTCAAGTCCAGGGATGCCAGTACGAGAGACTGATCCGAGAATAGATTCTTTGGGGCATGGAAAGAACAACTTGCCAGGCTTTGTAGACATTCCTCTCTTGAAGGATGCATTGAGATAATTAGGTGTTCCAGTGAACACAGATTTAAAATGAGCAAAAGTGGAACAGCGCAGCCGATCAGATCTTTTATAGAAATTTTAGGCTAAGCAAAACAACCTCCCTCTGCTTTATATTTTCATTTCTTGAAAGCTGTTAATTATCTCACATTGTATGCGTAGTAGAAGAAGCTGAAATTGAGATGTGCACTCCACCGTAGCAGAGGTGGAAAGGCATAATTAACATCAGCCATTCATGCCGCTTTAGGAATCAGAAACAGAAAAATTGACTTTTCTATCCAGTTAGTGGGAGATGTTCTAGAAATTAGTTGGTCATTAAAGCAATGCTTATGCTAGTTATTTAACATACAATCTGATCAAAATAATCCTGAATGCACTTGGTAGCAAGGCCCAGCATGGAAAGAAAGAAAATGATGTCTGTGTTGCTGGTATGATGTCCCCAAATCCATATTTGTGTTCGATAGGAAGCAAGTTATTTATCATTTGGTGAGGCTGAAGGAGGTGTTCTGATAATTAAGAATGGAATGTTATTCCCCAAATTACAGCAAGCATGTGATAAGGCAGAACTTTTAGATTACAGCTTTGGGGGAATCTGAGGAACAAAAGAGCTGCATTAGCTCCTATACCAACTGAGGCAGTAGTCAGATAATTAGAAGCACAGGGTGACCCCACACCAGCATGTGTAATTGAACAAATGGATTAACAAAGGGTAAAGAAGAATGGGACCAGCATGTACTGAGGTCTCTTCTGTGCCACATGCTGGGCTAGATGCAGAACCATCAGTGAGTCAAATGATTCACATAATCACCCTGGAAGGGAGACCTCCCTTCTCATTTACATAACACACCTGTGCCAGATTCTGAGCGCTCTCCATCACACAGAACAGACGTGTTAGCTCTCACTCCATGTCGGAAGCTCTTCCCACATTGCCAGGGTAGTACTTCAACGCAGTGGATTAGACATGTGAACAGGAATCGTTTATGAAAAGATCAAGGCTCTACTAAGGAACAGCATTGCACTTGACAACCATAAAACGATCAAAATACTACTTGCTGGGGTTGATGGAAATGAATTATTCTGCTCAGTTTTTCAAGCTCTGTTGATACTGGTTAATTTAAAAAGGATTATTTGTTTTTTTTTTCCTTCAGTATACTTTAAGAATCATTTAAACTACCTTTTGTCTGTCCCAGTGGTCATCTCTATGAATATCACAGTTTCTTAAACTGTTGCAGGTGACTGAGGAGGGTTAGGATTAAGCTGACACAGACATGTAGATCAGAAAGAGTCAAAATAGGCTATGATAGTATTAGCTGATGAGCTAGTCCACATCATTTAACATTAAACTTTATTGTTTAGATTATTATTGTCCACATATTATATGAATTATGGGTAATAGTAGCTAGTTATGAATTTATTAAAATAATTTTTTCTGTGAAGCTGAAGAATAAATGAAAGCATATATATTATATTTATAAAAGGTTAGTTCTACTTATATATATAAAACAAATTTTTTGATACAGGGTGTTACTGTATAATCCAAACTGGATTTGAATTCACAATCTTTGACTCTATATCTTAAATGTTAGGATTATGGGCCCAGGTCACCAAGCCAGGCACACATAAAATATATACACTTCCATTTCTTCTGCCTCAATGAGAAAAGTTATTTTAACAAAAGTAACTAATATTGTCTGTGTTTTGACACAGGCTAGCTACTTTCCTATCTGGGCTTTTGCTATTATGTTGTGATACCAAACTCTTAAATACTGTTTATTAAACACATATCACACGTTACTGGAATCGAGCCTTGGAGAAATGGGCACTCTCCACTCTATATCAAAGAGAACACATGGTCTAATGAAATTATCCAGATTGGACAACCATCTCACCTAGACATATACTCTGTGTGTATCTACAATCAAAGCTCACGATTTTAACTATGCTCCATATGGTTTATATCAAATGTTATTTAAAGGATTTGCTTAAGTGTGTGTGTGTGTGTGTGTGTGTGTGTGTGTGTGTGTGTGTGTGTGTGTGTGTCTGTCAAGGCCATAGGCATCAGATCCTCTTTGAGGGGCTTGAGTTACAGGCAGTTATGAGCTACCTATTGTGAGTTCTAGGGATGGAATGGAGTCCCTTTGCAAGAGCAGTATGTACTTTTAAGCTCTGTGCCATATCTCCAGACCCCTTAGTTAAGATTTAAGCGTGAATGATTGAGTTTTATTTTCTAGTTCAGAAAATTTTGACTCTTATTTATTTATTTACTTATTTATTTATTCCTTTATAGGGAACCAAAGTCCTTCAGATGTTCATGTGGTACCTGAATCCACGGCAAGTGTTTGATCTTTCTCAGGAAGGGCCAAAAGATGCGTAAGTCTGGAAACCTCTCTCTGCCCATGGGCCTTCTGAATTTTAGGCAAGTGAGGACCCTAGGATTGGGGGGCCAAGGTTATTTATCATCTCATGGTCTGCTGAAGTTTTTCCTCTTCACCTCTTAATAACTTCCTTGCCTGTATTTTGCTTTGCTTGGAACCTTCTCATGCCCCACCCACCCACTGCCACTGCCTCAGTTTCCATCAAGCCACCGTCCGATCAATTGTGGGGTCAGTGTTTGCTTCTCCAGTGCTTGCTGCGTGTGCGTGTGTGTGTGCGGGTGCGTGCATGCGTGTGTGTGTGTGTGTGTGTGTGTGTGTGTGTGTGTGTGTGTGTGACTAAAGCTTATTCTCAGAAAGTCAGGGAGTGAGGAAGGAGGCCTTGCTCTTCTGTTCATGACCAATCTTGGAGATACATTTTAGCAGAAATGTAAGTTTATAACCAGGGGGTCAACATAAGTCTGAATAAACATCTGAACTAGAGAGATTGTGCATGCGTGTGCGTGCGTGCGTGCGTGTGTGTGTGTGTGTGTGTGTGTGTGTGTATGAATGTATCCAGAATGTTTATGTGGGGGTAATGGAGAAAGGAGAAGAAAGAAGAGAAAGGAGAAGGAAAGAGAGGGAAAGATGGATAGATAGGTGGATGAATGGATGGAGGGAGAGAGGGAGGGAGGGAGGAGAAGGAGGGAGGGAGAGAGGAAGGGCGAGAGAGAGGGGAAAAGAAGAAGGGCAGGAAGGGGTAGGAGGTATTGAGATAAACCAATTGTAGCTTTGGGTGCTACAGTTTAGTGGGACAAGCATTTTAATTTCTCTTCCACCCCCTCTCTGTATTTATGTGTCTGGTTAGAAGTGTTGAAGATGAGGTCTAGATGTACACCACCCCACATGGTGGGAAAGAGCAGGGGTGTTGTTGGCATTACTGTTTGTTTCCCTGTCCTAGACCCATTACATTGCTAAGATGGTTCTGATGACTGGAGGTGGCAGTTATTTCTGATAAACAGTGATGACAGAGTGAAAGACTTGTCAATATGAATGCTCTCTAGAAAATGGCATTCCTATACAAAATGGCTAAATTAAATATTTTAAACTTGTAAGGAAATAAGAATCATGGATAAGTTTCTATCATTCCCTGACTCTGCATTTCTTCTCCACCAAGGTCTGCTGTAAGACTTCTTTAATGTTTGTTAAAGAACTGCTTCTTTACTTTAAAGTAAAAATCTGCTTCCCTGGCTTGTGGTCATTTGGATTTTATATTTATTAAGATTTTTATATGACTTAAGGTATACCTTATGTAGATGTTTCATAGGGATCATAGCAGGACAAGAAATCTTCTCAGTAAAACCCACACTATTATATATAAGTAGATGGTGGTTTCCAGAACAGATTTGCCGACACCTGCCTTTGGCAGGAGGCTTCGCAAGACAGAATGACTATGTTTCTTGAGATCCAATCAGAAAGTTAAAATGATCTGACTCCCAGGCAGGCACATTCAAACTAAAGACAAGCCCGTGGACTTACCCTACCTCAGGCTGTTGGGGAGGAAAGGCTGAGTGAGTGGGTAACTAAGGTACATCCTGTAGGAAGGACAGTGGTGAGCCTTCTCCATCTTTCTGAAATTTTCCAGGATTAAGAGTGGAAAGTGTGGATTCAAAAGATAAGTAGGCCCAGGAAAAGCCAATCAAAATTAAATAAGGAGGAAACACATAAAGATTACTGATGATCAGTTAATTAGGTGTTTCTCTGAGAAAGGAGAAGGAAGAGTGATAGGAAATGGAAAAGAAGAAAAGAAGTAAAAAACTGAAGAGGAAGATAATGTGGATTGGCAGGATGTGGAGAATCATGGAGGATGCTCCAGCTCCCATCCCAGTGCTGGTCATGCGACACCAGTGTCTGCTTCTCATCCAGTTGTGGTAGTCGGTTTGCCCTGGTCCTTTGGTTAATGGGTAGATTACAGTGTCCTTGGTGGGTAGTACCCATTCATTTTGCCCTGTGGTACGTCTCTGCAGAGAACAATGTGCTTACCTTGTCCTCCATTTCCTCTCCAGGCTGGAGTTGTACAGGAAGGTACCGAATCTGAGAATTCTGGCCTGTGGTGGGGATGGAACGGTAGGTCCTTGAAAGAGAATCTGTTCACTTCCTTACCCATCTATTTTCCTGACTGGGTTCCCTGTGGGAGATTTCTTTCTTCACTCCATGTCTTTGCAGCACCCCGACATGAATTCCTGTGTGCTGAGAGTCATCACACCTAGAGCTGAGAAGGGCTTAGCTGCCCTCATGGGTGCACACTCAGCCTTCTCAGTCCTCGTGGGTGCACACTCAGCCTTCTCAGCCCTTGTGGATGCACACTCAGCCTTCTCAGTCCTTATGGGTGCACACTCAGCCTTCCACAGTCCTCATGGGT